CGAGTTCTCCGACTCCTGACTGGCGAGAACAGCAGATCCCCGCACCACCGCACGACACTCCACGGTCACCCGGCTCCATCGAAACCCGAGGGAGACGACGGAGTGCCGGGAAAACCACCATCGCTCCTGGAAGGGAGAATCTTTACTGCAAGGGTGATGCTTATTTGCAAATTGAATTGACCTGTATCTTGTCAAGAACATGGGTCGAACTCCAAGCTATGCCGAAGATGTTCACTTGGGTACGCGCTATTTGAGGCCAGATTCGATCTGACCACGAAGGTACGTATAGATTGGAGTGAACAATTTTGATCAGTCTTTTCTGCGTGATTATTGTCCAGCATCAGGATGCTGCGTGTGAACAATACTGGTAAGAAAAACAAGCGTTGTGATTGCCGCTCAGTTGTTCTATAAAAGTTAAACTGGAAAGGTTCGTCCTAAAACTTTTGTGCAATTTTAAAAATATTATTGCTTTTAACTCAGTTGCGTCGTCATTATAGGTATTGTGAAAAAGTATTTCGGACACTAGATTTCACGATATATATGGCGAGGAAGTGCCCATTTCGCACTTTTATGTGTTGTAATTAATTCCTAAGTTCACGAGCACAACTAGGCTTCAACTTTTTAATATTGCGACGCAAATATGCACCAATCACGGGTATTTTAGTGGACCTACCAGGCTGATCACCTTTTGATTTAGGTAAAATACAGGGTCTTTTTAAGCTTAACAACTTTCTTTAAAAAGAAAAGGCTTGAGGTACACCTAAGCACTTCTTACGAGTTGTGAATGCGAAAGCACGCACGCCGCTCTTCGCTCCCTTCTTTAATTAAAGGAGCTGTGCAACGATATTCAGTTGGAATGTTTTTCTTTCTACACGAGCTACTGGCACACCTGGGACTCAAGGATACTCACACGCAACGCCACTGGCCAAGAAACTCCTTTGTTGCGGTGTAATTTCAAGGACAAAAGCGATCATTTTCATTCAATCTCTCCTTTGTAAAATTGGATGACGTAACTCGGGGATCGCAGTACACCCAAGTGACGATATTTGAATGCGGTTCATAGATTGGACCCGAGCATTGCGTGGGCACTCGACTTGGGCTCGTGACAATTGCTAGCTCGAGAAGCATTCGGGTTGTGACCCGTGTCCAATCGCTGCAACGACGACAACAGCCGAGCCATAACAATGTCTGGAACTCAGCGCGTGTCCTCCGCTTTGCCAACCCCAGCGCGTGGCTATGATCAACACTGGCGGCATATAATCGGCTCCAGATCACATGGCCGCTTGTTCTGGCTGCGAGTTGAGGGGGTAAACGCTGCTCGTTTTTCTTTAATTTTTTTCTGGGACTTCTATTGCGTGGGGTGAAAAACGAACGCGTGTTTCATAGGTCATTAACATTAGGGATCCGTTTTAAGCGGTATTTGCGCAAAGTACAAAAATTGTTGCATTGCTCCTTTAACCTGCGGTGTACAACGCGCTGACCCTGGGCGTAGAACGGTGGAGCCGCTGCATCGCAGACACGCAGCGGGTGAACGATCGTTCAAACTGTCGTGTGCCTTGCGGCGCGAGGAAGGAACAGACAGCAACGTAGTTCTCAGCAGAACGAACCCCTTGGTTTATTCCACGCGCCGTACAACCGATAAGAGGCGAGCGACCGCGGTGATCAGTGATAACACAACAGTGTGATAACACAGTCAGGATGACACCACACAAACTGACGCGCAGCGGCCAGTGGGAGCCTCGTCGACGCGCGCCAGCCAATGGGTACGAAGTGTAAAACGTGCCGTTGGCTAGCTTTGTGCGTGCTTTCATTAAGGTGCCGTTTTGCATGGTCTCAAAGCTGATGACGTTGGTTCGCTCCATGAGATAGTTGATACTTTCGCGTTAACAAAGCCGTGAAAGATACATTAATGCGGTTTTGGCAGGTTAGTTATAGACGGCCAGGGAGACATAATATAGAAGGCTAATCGTTACAATAAGTCGAATAATAAATATATTTTGGGGATTAACTTGTTAATTAGGGAAATTAGACATATCGTTTCAGTTAAAAACTTGCTGAGAGTCTTCGAAAACCACTAAATAGTATTTTAGAAAGAATTATAGCTCGTGGAAAGTGCAGTAGTGCGCTGAAATTGGCCCCTACTGCAACAAGCATGAGGCTGGGGCTATGATAAGAGACGGAACAACCAAGGTATCGCACCAGTAGTTGTAACTTTACCACTCCACCGCGCTTCCTGCGTGCTCCGAGTCTTTATAATATTGACTGGTTTGGTGGTTTTGAATGACGCTCAGCAAGTTTCTAATTATAACCATATCTTTCAAGGCTTTTTGTGAGCAAATCTGTTCAGCTTAAAAAGAAACACCCTTTATATACGACCGAAGTAAACAAATAGATGTCGAGTTGGGTAAACACGACGTTTTGTATGTTGAACTAGCTTTTCTTTTACTGTCAGTGAAATTAAATAAGGTAATTTCTTATTTTTGGTACCTGAAAATAAAAGTGGTTTGTTCAAACAATAAGAAGATATATAGCTACTCGTTTCACGGTTGAAGTAGTGCCTGTTGCCAAAACAACGCGGAACATATATTGTCAATGTAACGGTTCAAACCAGTTCGAACCGGTTCGAACCGTTATTCTTGCTCCCCAGAACTGAACTGAAAGCCGTGAACCCGAATCCGAACCGATAAAAAATTCGGTTCCACGCATTGCATCTCTATTAGTCCATTGTGAATTATCCATTTCTTGATCCCTTTGGCAATATATAATCTGTGTCCTCATGGCGTTCATTTTTCACTCTCAGATTCGGGCAGGTATCTGGGCACTTTAGACTTGACGTTCAGGGGATGCGTTACGAGGCCAATGTACTCCAAGACTTTACCGTGTTACATTTTTCGAGTCTTTCATGGCGAAATATGGCAGCATTAATATAATGCGAGTAAATAATTAAGTACGGTACGAAAAATGTCAAGAGCAAAGACGCTCTTTTTATTTTACGTAAAAACGAAGCAGACTAAAAAAAATTTAAAAAATCTGGAAAGCGCCAAGTCAAGAAGGACGCTGACACTATGCCTGTTCTACATTTTTTCTTCCGACTTCAGAACCAATATTGAAATAAAAGAACTGGCAATACTCTAAAACGTTGTTATTGGTATTTTTAAATTGGTTACCTTAGGCGACCTTCCTTAACTCAGGGATGTCATTTGAAAATTGATAGCGACCTTTATCTCCAAAGTTCTATAATGCATATAATGCAGTATTTGAGGAACGATCCTTTAAATTTATTTTGAAGGCATCAAAGGGACAGTGACACCCCTCCCCAATTTTTTCGTCTTCTTTTCTGCCGGGCGATTAGTAATAGTGTTAGAAGGCAACCCAATTAAAATTTTGCTACAGAGTCACGTATATTTTTAATAAAGTCAAAAAAAACGCTACTGCTCGAAACCGAAATTAAAACTGGACTGGAGCGGAAGATGAAATGGTAGAGGAGGAGAGAGTTGCCTTAAGTCACGTGGCTTCCCCCAACCAAATTTTATTTTTATTTTTCCTTTTTTTTTTTTTTTGTGAAGCAGGCGAAACACGCGCACGTTGCACGTCGCACGGAAAAAGCGAAGGTCAAGCACTTCGTGCTTGATGTTTGTGCGCTTTTCTCGTAATCTAACGCCAGGGGGATCGGTGGCCGAATGGGCCGGCGCAGACTAGCGCGGAGCACGTAGAGTGAAAGCTCGCACTGCAGAACCCAGGGATCCTAGGTTAAATCCCTACCCTTGCCCGTTCCGATCTGGATGAGCATCGTACCGACGTGCGGCCGTGTATCACACTACTGCGTGGTGCACGTTGAAGACCCAATGCTAGTGGTTGCACCGCACTGCCTAAATTCCTCATCTACAGCTGGGCGACAAGTCGCCCTTTGGGGCAGACTAATTTCCGGCCGTATAAACATACACAGAACAATTTGCTTTACTTTGCGTAATCTATCACCAGGTTTTTAAAGACAAGGTTAAGCGCCAAAAGCTTTAAAAATTTCAGTTCAATATCGTAAATAATGAGAAAAATTATGTTTCCACTGGCGCACGCACATCCTTAATATGTTTTAGTCGAACTAGCACTAGCGCGAGGTAAAGTCTATCGATTAAATTCACGCTTGCAAGTACCGGCAACCATTGTTATGGAAACGCGCACGTGCCACGAGCGGGTACTCCGGCTCCATTCCCTTCCAAGGGCCGCTCATTTCAGTGCTGCGCAGCCTTTTGCTTCCAGGGCCACTCAAACACGGGCCTCGGGCACTCGCGTACTTCACGCCACTTGCAAGAGAAGCGCAGACACATAGATGTGATTTAGCGCAAGCTGGTCCCCTCAAAGAGTCTGTTGCAACCAGTTGCAACGTACAATCTCCTGAAGAGAAAAGAAAAAAGAGAATCTCCTATACTCCGTTTCACCTTGTGTTGTACCGCAGACAAGGCTACAAGCTCGAGCTCATAGCGTTGGGGGCTGCTCTTAACGCACGAGAGCTTGTGCCGCCGAGATGTGCCCTAGAGCAAGGAGCTCGCGCTTGTAGCCTTTCCTGCGGTACATCATAAGGGAAAACAGAGTATAGTACGTGCTTGAAGCCGCCCGTCGCGTTTGACTGCGTGTGCGCCGACGTGATATGGAAGGTTGAAAGCTCGCGCTGGAGGCGGTGCATCTACCGCACATTTCAGCACACGAGCATTACACACGCGCCTACAAAAGGCTAGTGAAGGACTCCGCTAATATCAAGAGCTTACTCAGTTCGATTTACGTTTCCCCTTGTATAAAAATTCAATATTAAAAAAATATACCAATTTATCTAGAGCATACTATATGTTAGAGATATATCGAATTCATGCTGGTCGCACGGATTGTTTTGTTGTAGCTTGGCAGACTTCGTAGAAACGAGACAAACGATGCTTGAGTAGGCCGTGTCACCGGTCATTTTAGGGTGCACGTCTAGAAAGACGCCAGTTTTCGTGCCTCGGCTGAGCATACTTACCTGGTGCTGGGCGGCCCCTGATCAGGGAGGGGGGCGCCCCGGGCGGAGGCCTTCCATTGCACTTCGGTTGGCTGAAACCTGCCACTTTCCCAAACTGGGATAGCTGGGGCATGCAATTTTTGGTAGTGGGGGAGCGGCGTGCGCGCCATCCCCCTGAAATTTAATGCAAAAAAAGAATCCAGTTTCTTTATTTGTGCGGTCACGTTTTGAGTTAAAGCTGTTTAAAGCTTTTCCTATGTTACGTTTAGAGTGGTTCAACGCGACAGACGTGACGGAGGCAACCCCGGTCTGCCCCGGTCGCGTCTGTCGAGGGGGACAGGACAACGTATATTTGAGACATTGTCCCCCCTTTTTTCTGTCTTCTTGCAGTTTTTCTTTCAAATTTCATTCCCAGTCTAAGGATTCTACATCATGATTCATGATCAACGTACACCACCTCGCCTGCACCTTGACAATTTTTTTCCCAACTCATGATTGCTGAACGATGCGAGTTTTTTTTTTTTCTTTTTTGTATAACTGAGCCCGTTCTGTTCAGCGAACACTTCTCCCCATGATCTTGTCATTTCTGTTGTTTCGATCGCTCTGAGCATAAGTTAGGCTATTCGTCGCGAGATGTTTTGGTGGCGCCTTCCTATGGTCCCCTCTCGTAACGTCATTACCTTGCGAACAACAAGTTCGATGGTGTTTGTAATTACCATGGTGGAAGCTTGAAATCATTGCGCTCTGAAGCCAACACTGCCAACACCGTAAAAATTGAAGTTCTTACATTACTCTTATTTCTGACGACGAGAAATCCTTTGCTGACGTCATAAATAGCATTCGGCCTCATCGTGGAAGGCCGATCACAGCGACGCTTTCGATCGCGCACGTCGCGTATCGAACTTTCGCTAAACTACCCAAGCACCAAATACTGGGAACGTAGATACAACCGCTGCACGCGCTCGCCTTCTCTATACTTTGTATCGGCTAGCGCACACTAAGCGCACACCAGCTCGGAGCACGTGGAGCGAAAGCTCGCGCTGCAGAACCCAGGGATTCTAAGTTGAATCCCCCCCCCCCCCCCCCCCCCCCGCCCGTCTCGATCTGGATGAGCATCGTACCGGCGTGCGGTCGTGTACCAGTGCTGCGTGATGCACGTTAAAGACCCCAGGTTAGCGGTTGCACTGCACTGGCTAAATTGCTCATCTACAGCTGGGAGACTTGTCATCCGTTCAGGCAGACCAACTTCTAGGCTGTATAAGCATACACACAACCCAATTTTTTTTTTTTTTTTTGCTTCCGGTTTTTTGAGCAATTTTTTTTTCATTTAACGTGTTGGTAGTTTTTTTAAATCCACAAAAATAGATATAATTTTTTTTTTTTTAAGTTAAGCGTGTGCCTTTAATGACCCACGACTTTGATTATATTTGGTGCCGGGTTCTGTCTAAACCACAAAACACGGCACGTGACCACGGTGAAGAGCGTGAGCGGTACTCAAACCGCCCAGTTCTCGATTGGCGGTTTTCGGGTGCAAGGGAAACGAATTTCGAGCAGAAATTTATATTCTGGGTAGTTGAGCCCACATATCATAAATGTATAAGTAAAAACCGTGGCGAGCATAGGCACCCTGTCAGTGTCCATTTAATCAGTCGTTCTGGTGTGTGAAGAATGTATATTTTTATAAATTTGCCCGCTAAACTTATAACGGGAAAACTGACTTGGTACAAAGGTGACGTGCCGTCAATTTTCTCGCTAAATTTATCGGGAAAATAAATTGGTGTAATGGGTTACGTGACGTCAGGTCACGTGATATCAATAGACGCCTTTCACAAATGCGCCCCCCGACGGTGGGGTTTTCGGCCGTTTTGATTTGCACAGCATCCCGGGATAGCAAATCGCCATGTTTCGGTAACTTCTCTATCGCGCTGTGGCATAGGAAGGTCGTGTCGTCATTTCATGATATTTCGCCACAGGTAGTTTTCTGCCTCGTTAAGAGCGACACCGCCATCAGTTTCCGCAGTGCTCACCTTGCTGGGTAGCAGCAGTAGACGTTACCTCCTTCTGCTCGGGGAATGTTCATAAATGCTCTGCTTCCAATATCATGTTTTAGGTCATCACTGTAATGCACATAAGCGTCGCGGTTCCCTGTTTTCGTTCAAGTCCAGCTACAGACAACTGCAAGCATGGCGCCCCGACTGGTGCCCCCTGAGTGCAAGCACATGCTGCTTCCGGTCATGCTTTGGCAAGTTTGACATTGCATTGGCGTGTCCGCACGAGTAGAGACATCGCGGCGTCCAGTGGCCTTGCTTGCAATCGTCTATACACCTTTTCCACACGTGATCCTGTTTACAGGCGTTGCATGATGTTAAGATTCTTGTTAGATATGAAGACAAAACGAGCAGAGAACTGCATGAGACATTCGAAATTCGTGATAAAGCTAAATATTGTGTTAGGCAGGCTTCCATCGCCCTTCCAAACGAAGAGTTTGATTTTATCACAAATGCTTTGCACCGATGTGATGATGACTACACTCGTCGATGGGGCCTATGGGAACGCTACAGAACAGCAGAGCGACAGAACAGCACGCGTCAAAACAGCACGACGTCAAAACAGCACAGCGACGAAAGAGTACGTGCCAAAATAGCACAGCGTCAAAACAGCACGTGCTAAATGCCTGTTGGTTTTCGATGTCGTTATATATTTTGCTACCTCTAATATAAAACCTCCCCCCCATGATATGAAGTTGAATTTCTTGCCGTTTTCTTGTGATTGATTCTTAAGTTGTTGACGCAGGAAGTAGCACATTTTATCTTTATTGTTTGCATCACAGAAGCTGCTGCATATTTTTCTATGTTAGGCAGATTGCTGATGCTACCCTCCATTGCCCAATACAAAATAGTAAATGAACGTTTTAATTTACAGTACGTTTTTTACGCACGGGACACTGCAACTCTTTTATACTATGTTTAATAGTTTTCTTTTAAGCCACATTACAGATATTGTGAATATAAGAAACATAGTTGATTTGAGTATTTTGTTTCAGTATGAGGTATTCAGCGCATGTCAAATATCGCTCATTTAATAGAGATTGATATCGTACTATTTTACAACTTAAATAAAATCCTTGTTCAAGGCAAGCGTGTTCTTTTTTTTTTAATGAAAACTACGTTTCAATAAAAATTCTTGCGTAAGTAAAATATAAATATAAAAAGAATAAAGCCGTACCCTCTCGACCACCAAGCTGTCCCCACTTCCATGGGTTGCTGCTGATCCTCGACACCCACCCGGAGACGCAACACCTTGATAATACGCGATTGTGAATTCTTCGTGCAACACGAGCGACAGCCCTTCATCGACACGATTTTGGACTGTCGCTTTGCTTACTCCATGTAAGATATACGTAAAACAAGAGCGCATGTCAAATAAACCGTTCTTAGATTTTCCTCTAATTCCGTCCATCGGATGTTCATTATTTCTTTCAATCGCGGTCGGTAAACAGGGCGCCGCATTTGTAGGGTTATAATTTATAAACTGTAGTCAACGAATTAACAATTAAGTGCAAGAAAACGAGAAGGAATTCAACTTCGTTGGCTTGGGATGAGAAGGTTTTACATTGTAGGTAACAAAATATAACAGCACCGAAAACCAGCAGTCACTTACTCACGGGCGGTTTTGACGCTGTGCTGTTCTGGTTTGTGCTATTTTGTCGCTGAGCTGTTTTGACGCCGGACTGTTTTGACAGGCGCTGTTCTGTCACTGTGCTCTTTTGACGCCGAGCTGTTTTGACGCATGCTGTTTTGACCGTGCTGTTTTGTCGCGGGCTGTTTTATAGTGTGATGTTCTGTCATATTTCCGGGGCGTTTATAGACGCTTTGCAGCAGCTGTGAATGGACGCTGCCATAACTGACCTTCAGTTTTTGTTTCCTCTTATTTCGTTTATTTCACTTCATCATTACCATAGCAGGCCAGGTTATTGCCACATGAGATTCAACTGTGTCTTTTTCTAAAGCATCGACCTTTGAAGAGGATCGTCAACTACCGTTTCAGTTGCTCGGCATCTCGGTAAGACAAGAGAAGGTCAGCAATGGCGGCTGTAATTTGGCGCGTTTGTAAAGCGTCTATATGTACGTGTTCTTTCCGAATAAACTACAGTTGCGAGTGCGCCTTGTGTTCGTCTTACTTCGTTTTCGTCCTTGTTGTCTTTGGCGCTTTTATACCTTTCAAGACCATGAACCAACTGGCCCAAATAACCACCTTGCTTTAATATATACCCCGTTACCTTTAAAATAGCAAACGACTGACGGCTCAATGACTCAACATTAGATGGCAGCTTGTTTGCATTGTGAGTTTACAAATTTGTACCAATAGCACATATTTATTGCAAGATGATCATCTTCATGCACTATTCATCCGTTCATCCCTACGCTGAGAGAGCGGTGCGAGCTACACGCTCGCCGGGCCAATAAACCGCCTCCCTTTGATCACGTGACCCCAGGTTCCGCACGTGGGTATGGGTTTTGAGCGTGATCACTGGGCAAATAATAGACGCATGACTAGTTTAACGAGAACGTAGCTTCCACCGCGCTGTCAAATTAGGGGTGAACGGAGAATTGGAGAACTTGTTTGCTACTTTTGAAAGAATAATGACGTGTGGCGCTCTGAAATCAACAAACGAAATTTTTATTCTTACGTGACGTCTGAATTTGCGATGTCACCTGCTACGAAAAGTACTTTTTTTTTACACCCTGTAGTGTGTATCATTTCGATTTACTCAATCTTTAAATAACGTGCAGCCGACGACTGCAACCTCGTGAGGTAAATTCATCCAGGAAATAAAGACCAAAAACATTTTTCCCGGGCTGCCTCGGTGTGTTGTGAATATGTTGTTTAGTCATGACTCGGCGAAAGTAGACATCTATGAACAATAAAAAAAGGGCAAACAAGAGCCCCGTGCCTCATCCCTGAGCGATAAGAAAAGTGATCACGATGTCCAAGACGGTGGAGCATCAGCCTAACCGGCGTCCAATAAGAATAGAAACTTCCCGTTGCGTCACGTAATGTTTAGATATAAGAGTGGGCGCTTTCGCGGGAAACCACAGTACGTCCTCTGGAATTATACTTGTCAGGCTGAAGGATCTGCAATGGAGGTTCTGCCAAAGTCTACCGTAGTCCTAGT